TAAACAGATAAGTATATATGCATGTCTTCCTCATAACATAATATATATTATCTGAGATTCACAGCTTTTAATGTACTGCTTTCATCCAACTTCCTTGATGTCTTATAGCTATCTATCTATATATTCATTCTTTGTCTACTTCCTCATAAAAATTAATTTTTATCTAAACTAGGTTCTTTAACATTATTCATTTTGTGAACAGAAAAAGTTAAGTTTTTAACCACATATAATTCTCTATTCTGTTTTTTTCTTTCACCTTCCATCCTATATATTCATTAGTTTTAACTATACTTCCTTTGTTTGTTCATTATAACCAGATTTACTTCTTTTCTTAATTTAATCTTTCTATACATAATCTTTACTCTTTCTATACATACATACATAGTGATATCGCTTATATCAGTATCAATGTAGTATTGACTCAGTTCAATTAACTCAAAACCATCTGATCTGTTTGCTAATGTGCCTTATTATTTTCAATTTTCAATTTTCTTTTCTTATATTTTTCCTTATGATTATTCATATGTATCCACTTTACATTATTTTTTTTCTTATATATTCCATCATTTCCTTCCACTCTTTCTCCATTTTGTCTTTGTCCTTCCCTTTCAATTTTGTTGTTAATATGTCCATATCCATAGCTTTGTTTAAGTTTACTAACCAATCTTCACTTGTTGGTATTGTAGTTTTCTTCCAATGTTTAGCAAATAATATTCTTGCTATTGATAACATGTATAATATTAATTTTGTATATCTCTTATCCTTTAGTTCATAAGTCATGTTTAAGAGACAAAGTTGTGGTGTAAATGGTATATCTATCTTCAATATTTCTTTTATCTCGTCACATATCATCTTCCAATAAGTTCTGGATCTTCCACATTTCCACCATATATGGTAGAAGGTTCCGTTAGTTTCATGGCACTTCCAGCAGTTTGGTCTTCCATTTTTATATATGTGATTGATCTTAACTGAAGAAAGATACCATTGATAGAACATCTTGATAAAGTCATTTTCCATGTTTCTTCCCAGTGATCCCATTGTATGTTCTGCCCAATATCTTGGGCCCATTTTACCATGGTATGTTTCACCTTTTCTTGTTCTAAATCCCTTTCTTTTAAGATTTTATATAATTTTGAATTTTTTCCTCCTTCTGGTTCTAGTGGAATTTTATCTATTTCCGTTCTTTCCTCTGTTATTCCCTCCGTTCTCATGTCTACCTTAAATCTTTCTGTTAATTGCAAATATAGGAACCATTTGTCATTTATCTTTTCTGCTCTTAATTGTTCTCTTGTTTTCATTATAAAGATTCTCCTTTTGTCTTTTATCAGTATATCTTGATACCTTATCCATTGTTCCTTTTCTCTGCTTCCTCTAAAAAGAGCCTCTTGTGGGGATATCCAAGTTGGTATGTGTCTATAGAATTTTTCCTTTATTCTTAACCAGGTTTTTAACAATGCTCTTCTAATAATGTGGTGATTGAAATCTTTATTATGTTTGAGTTTAATCAAATCAACATTTGCTTTTTGGATTTTATATATTTTTAAAATATTTTCAAGCTGTGGATGGTTGGGTCCATGGATAAAGAATCTGTGGATATGGAGGGCTGACTGTACTGTGCCAAAATGAGCAATATAGAAGACACTCATACACAGAAGTCATTGTGAAGTGCTAAGACTAGTAAATGCATTTATCAAGCAACACCTGACCCTACAACAGGGTTGGACAACTAACTCACAGGAGGTGACATGATGTCACGATCTGCCAACATTTTGAGAGCAACTACAGAGGAAAATGGAGGTATTTGCGGGTATTATGGGATTCTAGGGTGCTTGTGGGGTGGTGTAGGGTTTTAGAAATGTTTTTACACAGGGGGCTTTCTGAATGGTTTTGGGTCAAAGCTTGCCTGAAAATGAACTTTTTTTTAAACAATGGAGTATTAGGGAGCTTTTGCAATATGGGATAGGGCTTCAGGGGCCACATGCAGCCCATCTGCAGCAAGATGCCCACCCCTATACCATAGACAGATATACAATTTTTAAAAATGCTTTATAGCAAATAAAAGTCTATAAAGATTTTAAATAATTATGAGCATGAAGACTAATGCATGCCCATTACAGTATATTCTCATCCACAGAAAATTTTTTTCTGCCCCCCCCCCTTGGATGGCAAAAAATGTAGAAGGTTGCATCCTATATTATTCAACAGTGGTGATGTGTGAGATGCACATTAGTGCATCTCAATGAACAGAGTAACTCTTCTGTACCAACTTTGCAGAGAGAAAAAGTATGATGGTCTTGCTTTAGGGTCACCAAAAATCAGAAACAGCTTGAAGTCACAAAATAACAACAACAACGCACTTTTCTTTGCATCTTGATCCTATAAAAGTCACTGTAACCTGGCTTATGGTCACATAGAAGTGAATTGTGATGTCGTGCAATGCTTGTATTCTCAGGGGGGAAGCAATGACATATTTACATCTCCTGTCCCATTGTGTGAGCGGAGACAAAAGCATAGGCATTGTATAACAGTCCCAATGTGCAATATGCTGTGTACATTGTGCA